TTTTTTTTTTTTTTTTTTCTTTTCATTCCGCGTAACCCCATGTTGTGTAATTTTTTCATAACAGGAAGGAAGGTCTGAGATGCTGCAAATAAAGAAGATACAAAAAGGTGCAAAAGAACCATACATGTGGTTTTACAAAGTTTTGTCTAAAATTTTTGTCCCCCACATGTTTGGTTCTTTTCCACCTTTTGTTTTATTCCTTGCGAATTCTTCTTTTAAACTTTTTTTGAGAAAAAAAATATTGAAAAAATATTAATTAGCTACCAGAAATGCCAATCATACATTTTTGTTCTGTCCCTTTCTCTTTTCTTTAGAGGGGAGGAACGGGGGCAGAATAAAAATGTATGATTTTGAAAAAGCTAATAAGCAAGTATACGTAATTGAGTTCGATTTTTGAGATTTTTCGATCGTCCTAATTGTGTACCGTTGCCTTTCCATGTATGTGTTATGGAGGGGGGGAGGGTTTCTATCCCCTCTCCCAAAACACCTACTTGGAAGACAGGAAAGGGTCAACACGTTGGGCACTTCCGAGAAATAACCTAATTCAGACTACTCGTAAATTCATTCGCACCAGGGGAAGGAGCAGGAGAAAAAGGAAAGTACAAAAAAAAAAAAAAAGGTAACCGCAGCAGTTGGAAGTTTGTACAAGAACAGCTGTCACTACAATGAAAAGACAAAGCAATTGTAACACAGACAATGGGCACCATACCCCAAACACGTATACGCACATACGTAGGTATGCTCACGCCACGCAAGCAAATTCACCACCGTTTGTTGTCAGTCCTCCCGGAATATACCTCCTGGATACTTGTACACATGGTAGAATTTATTCAGGTGGTACTTTTGCAGGGGGGGCGTAGGGAATGCCTCTAATTTTCTTTCCTTTTTTTTTTTTTTTTTTTGTGTCCCTCTTCACCCCATCATATGCAAATGTATGCCTTCCTCATATGTTTTTTTAATCCAACATGATTTTTTGGCCCCGTCTGTTTTTTGTCCACATTTTTTTTATTAATTTGTGAACATGCCAACTACACGGGTGCTACATACACACATGCCTATTCATCAACTAGCGCGTGTGCGCCAGGGAACACCAGCATATAACGTAAGTAACATATTTGAACACGCATTGCGCAAGAGGAGAATGACCACTCCCCTGCGTTACGTCTACCTTTTAAGCGACAAGGGGAACAAGTTGGGCCGCCCCCCACAAAAAAGGCTGCTTACCATTCCCCGTGGGGGGAATAACCCCAGTGAGTGAACGAGTTAAGCATGCTCAGCTGGTAAAAAAAAAAAAAAATGAAACAAAACGAAACGAAACGAAACATAATATGTGCATGCTGCGAATCACAAAGTGATAAAAAAAAAAAAACGAACCAAACTTCTTACCTGTCCCAGCAAAACATCAAACGCAAAACTGAACAGGTAAAAATGGAGGAATGAAAAAAAAAAAAAAAATCTGCAAATCCTAATGGCTGTAAAAAATATATCGCGTCATTTACCAATAAGTAAAAGGACGTGCGTTTTTATGTCTGCGTTTCCGCGGAGATTTTCCTTAAAAACAGGGAAAAAAAAAATACCCCCCGCGATTGGGGTCACAGTGCAGCCTTGCCATGTACCCCACATATAAAAAACATCTACGCCCCGCCCACAGGGCAATATTAATGCGCAATGCTATAATTCGTAATGTTAATTCGAAATGTTAATTCACAACTTTAACGTGCAACGTTTTAATAACGCCTAAAAATAGTTAAACGCAATGCGCTTCAGTTAACCGCCATTGCTCGTCAAAAAAAGAGGCGGGTTAAAAAAGAATAACAAAAAAAATTCTTTTTTCCCTCCTACTGCATCTTGAAATGCGCGCCTGAGCGAGCGCTCATATCCCAGAGAGAGAAGCAGTTCAAAGTTAAAAAAAAAAAACTGAAACGAAGCAAAAGAGGAGAGCTAGAGGCGCAAACACCGGCTGAATAGGAAGCAAAACAAAAGTTGATAAGAAGAAAACACCAACTGGGATGCCAACCACCAACCACCCTATAATTACGCCCCAGTATATAGTGGACGCTAGATGGGGGGAGAGCATAAGCCAATTTTTCTTCAACAAGAGACACTAGCCCCCAAATAGCTCCCCCGACGCTTACAAATGACCGATTTTTTGAGGTAAAAAAAATGGAGGACATGAAGGGGTGTAACGCCTGGGCAGATACATAATAAAAATGACGTACCACCCGAAATCCCACGCTATGAGTACTCATCACACAAGTATACGCCAGACACCCCACTGCATAATCTTCCCATGCTCTGTCCCTTTTTTTTTTTTTTTTTCTCAGGAATTTGCCTAAGCCCAAGAGGAGGCCCTATGACTACGCCGATGAGGAAGACGACGAAAGGAGAAACGATGGAAGGACAGACGACGGAAGGACAGACGACGGAAGGAGAGACGACACGAAGAAGGGCCACGGAACCCGAGGTGATGGCAAGAATCAGTGTTATGAGTACCTAAAGAGGAAATACCTGCGAATTACCTGCAACGAAGACTTCCAAGGAGGAGGAGCCTACCCAGAGATCCACGTCAACCAATACCCAAACAACATGGGCCTTCCAGAAGGTGGGGTCGGGAGAAAAAGTACAAAAGGAAATGTAGTACTAAAGTACCTAGACGAAAATAACAACGTAAAGTATGACAACCTAATAAACGAAGATGTACACATATATAATAAAGAATTAGAATCCCTAGAACCAAATGAAAGAATTCAAAAATTAAGAAAAAAAAAAATATTATCAGATGCACAAGATAGAGAAGAAAAGTTTAATGAATTACCCATCTGCAAACCAAATGAAGAAGAAGAAAATGAAATCATAAACAACACAAAAAAAAATATTGAACAAATGATGAATGAAAAATTTAAAAATAATCTAGGTAATAAAAAGGAAGATAAATTCTTCAGATATATTCCTCAAAATAAACTTAATGCAAATTTAGAAGAAAGAATTATTAAAGTCGTTCATAAAACAGTAGACCCATTAGATGTTTCAAAATTTAAACATAAAAAATTACCGAATATAAAAAACTCACCAGACTATCCTTTGTTAAGATCTCCTACCAGAAAAATTAATAAAGAAGAGGAAGAGAATTGGAAAATCCCTCCCTGTGTCTCCAACTGGAAGAATAATAAAGGCTATAATATTCCTCTCGATAAACGAATACAAAGTGACAATAAAAAATTAAACCAGGTGGAAGTTAATGAAAATTTTGCACACCTAAGTGAATACTTATACGTGGCGGAGAAAAAAGCTAGAGAAGAAATCAAAATGAGAAACAGCATCATTAAACAAAAAAAATTAAAAGAAAAAGAAGAAAAGGAAAATGTCTTACGAAACTTAGCCATACAAGCAAGAAAAGAAAAAGGACTTGCACAAACACAAAACTCCATTCTCAACGAAAGAAAAAGAGAAATCGAGAGAGATTATCGCATTGAAAAAAATCTTAAAAAAATTAAAAATTATGAAAATAGACTCATTGAAGAACAACTTGCCCTCAATAAAGTCAATGTTAGTAAAAACAGCAACATACATGATGTTAGCCTTTTCAACATTAACAGCCAAAATGACGATGGCAACAATCAACTCGCTTCTAACGATGATGACCTGTACCAGATTTACGACACATCCTTGTTCAACTCTAAACAGAGTAACAATATTTACAAATTCTCCAACGAACGGGTCAAGAAGACGCTACAAAAAATGGAGACCACGCAAAGTACCTCCGAGCCAGTCAAATTTATAAAAGAAATCTCCGACCCCTTCGGCCTGGACAGCCTACTCTCCCAGGCCAAGAAGAAGTAGCGTTTTTTAAGTGGTTGCATTTAGAGGCATCACAGCATGTCTAACCCCTGCACCACTTGCATGCCCCGCTTCTTCACTCTGTTTTGTTTCTTTTTGTGAGAAACAATAAATTTGCGTCACACCGCGTGTGCTCCAGAGCGGCGTGTACCATACGCGTGCGCATTTGTTTCGTGTCACCAATCCCGCACCTATTCTTATTTTTTTTTATTTTTTTTATGTTTCTTCTCCACAAACCGACGCCATTTGTGCCAGTTGCCCCCTGATAAAAACAAACCACGGGAGACTGCAAAAAAAAAAAATAATAATAATTAGCCATGTACACTCATATGCTAAGCTTTCACGCACGAGCAATTTTTTTTTTTTTTTTCAACCTGCTTTTGATGCGTTCCATCCGCTTACGTATTCGTCATAACGGGCGGTGTTGCTGCGCAGTGCCCGAACACCACCAACAATGCAAATGAAGGAAGACGCCTTCATGGCCCCACCATTTCAAAGGTTGGCCGATTCGCAAGGACATGCCACACTCCATCTCTAAGTCGTCTCGCCATCACGATACCAAAAAAAATTAAACGCCTTAAAAGGATAAGTAGACAAAAATTACCGATAGGTTATAGCATTACAATCACACACACACACAAAAAAAAAGCCACATGGCGAGGGAGATATGGATGTGAAGTGGCCAAGTGGAAACAAAAATGGGATGCAAATCTGAACGAACGGTAAAACAAAAGGAACAAAGATGTGAACAGGAACCCCATAACGGGGGGGCTCCTCTACATCGAAGGAATGCATAAGGAGGAATTTGATGGGGGAGCGGTTCACAGGGGGACGCACAACGTCGGGAATTTCCCATCTCTGGGGACGGGTGATACGACAATATGCCACATACGAGTAACCCATTGTATAAGCGGAGGTGAAGCAGTCACCATCCGTTCACGCCCCAATAAAGGCATCTCCGCGGCTACCCCAAATGGCCGAGCACCGCGCAGAGATGAGCAGAGTCCCACACAACCATTTACAGAGGCAACCGCTTCTAACCCCTACATCTCCTCAAAAGCCGAAGTAGCCCGAGAGGCCCAAATTCCCGTCCATGTTCCTGAACGTCCTGAAAAAATTGGAAATCTTGGAGAAGCCATCCGCCTCATCAGACAGATCGTCAAACACAGAATCAAACGAAGAACCCGCGACATCTGCGCTGTTCAGGTAGAACCCGTTGCCACAAAGATTCTTCCCATCACTCTCATCGGAAGAGGAGTATATCCAAAAATTCGAGTGAGTGTAAATGTGCTCATATGGACTGCCAGTCAGTATCTCCTTATTAATTCCATCAATGATGTTTTTATTTAATTTTATCTTCCCCTTCAAATGGTGCATCTTCAAAACGGTTTTGTGAAGATCTACCGGTACACTTATACTTCTTTGTTTCCTTTCCTTTACACCCTTTTCAATACCTTTTTTTTGCTTCGTTTTGGAGACCCTACTTGGGTGGGAGTCCCTAATTACCTTTCGAGTGTTGCTAATCTGGTGGGGTACATTTTCCTTCTCTTCTCCGCTGGGCTTTATGATTTTCTCACTTTCTGTTCCTTTCCCTTTTCCTTTTCTCTTAAACCGACCAATCCCCCGTTTGCCCTTCCTAGACAAGTGATGGCCACTGCATACCTCTGCATCCTCCAAATGGCGATGCGGGGAAGGATCTTGTACGGGGGTCCCTTCATGGACGTGCTGCCTCTCGCATTTAGCTAATGACGCGTTGGAAGCGTTTTCCTCGTTTGGGCGTTCTTCCGTCGCTTCTTCCTTCGTTTCCCGTTTAGCTCCTTCCGATTCCACCTGCTTGCCCTCTCCCCACCTCTCCGTGTGAACAGCGCAGGGAGAGGACCTCTTCCCTCCAATAGCGTCCCGCGTAACCTGCTCCACTACATCCGCCCCTGCTCTACCTGATGCTCCCTCCCCGCCGCCGACACACACATACACAAAATTGCACAGCTCGAACATGTTGAGCGCCCTTCCATTCACGTAAAGGACAAACTTCTCCACCGAGCTTAGAATAGCAGACACATCATGCTTCCTCTTCTTCCTCCGCTTGCTCAAGCTGGTTATCCCAAGCAGCGACTCAAACACAGAAACTAACTTTACATATAAAAGATACACCTTCTTAAAGCAAAAAATGCACACGTTCAAGTACTCGGTGTATAGCCACAGGTACGTGTCACTACGACCCATGTCGTAAATCTTCCTAATCATTTTGTCGTTTGCTCCCTCGAATGCCATCTTCAATAACTTCCTCATGGAAAACACATTCTTAATAAAATACGTTCGATCATTATTATATAATTTTTTATCAATATTGGTTTCTACATCTTCAACAAAATTTTCTGGCGAGCCATCATGCATCATCATTTCTGCTCGCCTTTCCTTAGTAGAGCGTCTCTCGGGAAGGACATCGGATCCGTTTCTTCTCCTGGTCCAATCCTCTTCTTCACTTGTTGGAGGCACCTTCCCCCTACCCCCCATCACTGTCCTATCATTCCCTTCTGTATCAACCTGATTAACACTTGAAACCCCCCGCTGCATCGAGCCATAAACAAACATTTCTTCAATACTGGTACAAATCGTTCTTTGGTGTCCTTCCCCTCCATCCCTATTACAAACTCGTGTCCTCACTTTCTCCTTGGTTGGTGACATTTGCCCTGTTATCTTTTCCTTTGTGGGGCTCTCCCACGGAGTTTCCTCCACACCAGCTGTCTTCGCCGCTCCCTCCGCTGCGCCGTTATCACTCCCCTTCCTAAAAAACTTATACTTGGTCTGCTCAGAAAAATTAATAGAAAAAACAAATCTCTGCAAAAAAAGCATATCCCTGTAGAGCTTATCCATTTCATGTAGGTGTGAGCAGATCTCACTTCTCCGCTGGTCATTCATGGTAACTATTTTATTCCAATTCGTCTTCACAAAAACGTCTGGGTTGTTAATAACTCCACAGTCGTGGTTGAAGAGGAGCAAATTGTTCAGCCCCCGAGGAAACCCCTTCCCCAATTGACATTTATGCCCACAGTTAAGTTGTGCTTCTGGACACATCTCACCGACTTTCTGGTCCCCCAATTTGTTCCCCGTTTCGCTGTTAGTCCTTCTCACATAGTGAGTGCAACTGCTACCCACGTCCATTTGATCCTCTTTTTTCATAAACAGGTTAACATGATTCGCATGACTAATGTGGTTGCACTGTTTCATTTTGTGATTCTTGTTCTGTTCTACTGCTTGCTCCTCCTCGTCGGCCTCCCCATTGCGCTTCCTGACCGTCCACAACTCCGCAAATCTCTGCGTTAAGCTCACCGTTCTGGCATCTTGACTGGCGTTCGTCATGGAGGGTCCCTCCTGCACCATATGTTTTGCCAATTGGCCATCCCCTACGTGTGTGTAACCCCACGGAGCTGCTTCACCACAACTGTTCCCTTCAGTGAGGGGGGGGATTCTTCCTCGCGGACAGGAGGTAACTGCCCCACGGACGCGGTTATCACCGCCTCTAACGCCGCTAACACGGCTAACGCCGCCAACGCGAGCGAACACATCGCGGTGACACAAATTGGCATACAAGTAGAGGTACAAAAAGAGGTAAGAATCACCCATGTCCTCCGCGTTCAGACACATAAAGCTGTAGTAGTTGTGCTCAGTAACCTTAACGACTCTTCCGTTCGCCGCTTTTATTTCGTTAAGTATGTAAATGAAATTTTTGTAAATTTGGCTGTGCTTCAAATAATGGGTAATCCCCCTAACGCGCGATTGGAAGTGCCCTCCGGGGGACTCCCCCTTTGCACCTGACAAAACCAAACGTCCATCACCGCGACCCTTCTCAACCTCGTGACATAACAGAATTAACCTCTGCACACACCTCTCCACACAATCGAACAAACAAATATCCTTCAACGAATCCACCAGCTGATGGATGCTCCTCTTTAAGAACCTCTTTTCCAGCCGTGCGATGTTGTCGTTGGCGAAATGCTCTTTAAAAAAAAACAAAATCACTTCACTCTCCAGCTTGGGGTGAAATCGTATGTACTCCTCCATTCTGAGTAATTTCTTTTTTTCCAGCATAAGGAAAATGTTTTCCAGTTGGGCGTCCTCCCCGTCTTCCTCCCCTAACGTGTCTCCACCATCCTGCCGCAAACCCCTCAACACTACCTCCTTCAACCTCTTGCTAGGGAAAAAGTTCTCCTCAAAGTAGGCGCTCATCACATTTATTAGCGTCATGGAGAAGCTATAAAAATTGAAATACTTGCAGTTGTGCCGTTCGAACTGGGCAAAGGCCTCCCGGTTCACCTTCAGGAAGACCTCCCTAGCAGCGTCATTCCCGCATGTGCAGCGGAATCGGCTAAGTCTCTCCTCCAAACGATGCATCAGTTCGGAGGGGCTCGCTTCGTAAGAAATGTCGGTACTGCCTCCCCCCAAATCACCTCTACCCGGATCTGCATCCATGCTCACCCCCCTCATCGCCGCTCCCCCACCAGGGGCGCAGAAGTAATCGCGCAAAAACTCCCCCCAGGAAAAGATCCTCAAATCCATGATCCTCTTCAACCGACGAACCAAAAACGCATAGTCCTTCTCCACCCACACATTATCCACCACCCGGTGAAACAAATTCTTCACACACAAAAAGAGAAAAATCAAATGTCTATACTTAACCATATGAGGGCTAATAACACTGTTGGTCTTGTTCTCAATACCAACATAATCTGAATCGAAAGGAGATACCTTCACGGTGCGCTCGGTCTTCGTACTAGGGCACCCAAATTCCTTCTTCCTGGTGCTGAACAATCCATCGATGCACTTTTTATTTCGAAAGTTGGCAAAAATGTTGTTCGACAAATACATAGGGATATTACACGAGGCGATCACTGCACTGATCAGATCCCTGTCGTCGTAAAATTTTGTTATGTTTAATCTTTTGTAGTAGGGAAGTATCTGTGTGATCCCTACAAAGACGCTTCCATTTCGTTGGTTCAAAAAATTATAACTTCCCGTGTAAAGGTACTTGTTCAACTCCACGTCCAACACATTTTGCAACTTCTGGTAACACCCATTTTTGTATACATTACTAATAATATTCTCAATTAAAAAAAAACATTTGTCCACACTCAAACCGATACCCAAACAACAAGCACATATGCTACCTGCAGATGAACCAGCTATACTCGTGTGTATGTTAAGGATGTTTTTTTCTATTAATAAACTGCTCACACCTAGGTGATACGGTATTAACAAACCAGCTGGGGAGAAAGAAATGCCAAGGTTCATTTGCTCCTTCTTCTCCTTAAGCAGATGACCCAACAACAGGCTCCCCTTCTTCTTCCTCACCAATCCGTACCTATTTATTTCGTACCTATTGAATACTTTAGAAAGCGTCTTTTTAATATACACCGCGTAGGAAGAGTTGTCGTTTTTTACCTGCCCCATTTCACTCTTCAGTGTAGAGTCCAGACCATTCCCAGGCTCTTCTTTCTCTCCACGTAACTGTGCCGAGTCTACATCCCCCCCCAGGTACGCTTCCTCCTCACGTTCCTCCCCATCCTCCCTCCTCCTTTTCACTCCTTCCACCCCCTTCCTTCTTCCCCGACGATAATTTCTGCCTGAACTGTACAAGGAAAAGCCTTCGTCGTACTTCCTACCCAAGGTGCTCTTCCACCGAAGTGTAACTTTGTCATCTTCTATCTTCACTCTTTGGGGTACCTTCTTTTTCCATTTGCTCGGGCATCCCTCCTCTTCTCTCTTGCCGCTTTGCCCTTTTTTCACTTCACTCAGACGTCCCTTCTCGCGGCTCCGCGGCTCCACCTCCTCCAAGCTTTCCGCGTTGCCCACATCACTTGTGCGTCCCACCTCCTCTCCACATCCTCCTCCTACATTAGCAAGTGCATCGTTCCGTGCCGATCCCTCACCCCCCACGGGCTCCTTCCAAATGGGAAATTTCCTCCTATCAATATGGTATAAATAATTCCTCATGCAAGTCTCCACATCATCGGACCCAATATATCTCTTCGACTTCCTAACCTGCCCATATATGTAATTAACATCGGACAGGTCCTTTCTCCTGATCGAGTCGCTCACACACTTCTGCCTCACACTTTGAAAAAAAAAATAAAAAGAAATAAAGTTGGCGATCTCAATTTTAGATTTTATCGTATCGTCAAGAAAGTTCACAATGTACTTGTTATTGTGGAAGGTCATTTCTTCAATCATTTTCTTGTTCCTAATTTTTCCATTTTCTTCACTTGTGCCTTCTTTGTCCTCCCCATCCCCCTCCACCTCACATCCCACCTTGGCACTATTCGCCGTAAAACCAAACTTATTAATCTCTTGTAAGTTGAAGAAATTCTTGAAGTAGTTCTCATAGTAGAAAATGTTTACTAGGCTCTCGTCCAGGAGTCCTCTACTCTTCACTTCGACTTCCCCGGTACGACCTTTCGGATCGCCCCCTGATTCTTGCCCACTCCCCTTCCCTATATCATCCTCCTCTTCATCATCCTTCTTATTCGTCTCCCTCCTATTGGAGTTACCCATTTAGGTGGGATTTTTACTTACCCATGCACCTACGTGCTCCTTGTGACTCCTCAACTCAACTGATTGTTTCCTCTCTGCTGCCTGTTAGTGTATTTTAGTCAATGAGCGCGAAGTGCTTCCTTGAGAGGGACAACAGCTCTGCGATATCTCATCTTTCAGAATGGTGTGGTCGCTCGTCCAGCCATGTGTTTTCCCTTCTGCGCCTTTCCAAAGGGATAGCGTCACTACACCTCCCTGCCAAAATTTTAACCTTCTAAATATTGGACTGTACAGATTTGCAGTATATATTGCTATATATTTTTGCCTATGTTTTTAGCTCCCTGTTTGTATTGTTTTTTTTCTGCCAGTTGCGCTTGGCCCTACGGTGAAAACTCTCCCGTCTCGTTCAACGCGTGAGAGCCGGTACTCGCTCGGAGGGGCTGCTCCACAAAAGGCTGTCCCCTACAATGAACTTTCCTCTAATGATTATATGGAGATATAATTCATAGGCATATCTACACACCTCTCCCGTTCGCTTTGATTCGCTATTCTCGTGCACGCGCGCGAGTTATTGACTGAATGGCTCATTCGACCTGGGCCGTAACACATGAACAAAAAAAAAAAAAGGAAAAAAAAAAAAAAAAAACCCCCTTTCCCATTTCGGGGCCGAAAAAAAAAAAAAAAAAAAAAAAAAGAAAAAAAAAAAAAAAAAAGGCACTGACATCCCTCGAGGTGCTGTATGTTATTCTTAAATGCACCTATATCGTATGCAGGACAAAAAAAATGTAGCTAACGCCTGATCTTAACTCTCTCGTACGTTATACTTCAAACTGGGACAACCCCTTCTACTGGCATCGCCAGTCAAGCCCCTCTTCATTCTTTTAATTCCTTTCGTTGGTACGAATAGGAACAAAAAAAATTGCAAATTTCGGAATAGAACTGTTCCATTTTTTTTTTTTTTTCTTTCCTCTTCCTTCAAACTGTTATCTTAAAAATTGATAAAAGGGTGTGCCACGTGAATAGTTCAGGTGGCTAGTCTTTTTTACATTAAAGGGGTGTGTTCGCGCAAGTTAATAAAGAGTGTACATGTAAGCAGGTACGGATAACTACTTGCGCATGAGCATAGACCATATGCACATCCACCTATATGCCTACATGTGCAGAATTAAAACCGACGGTAAGGCGCGTGTCCCAGGAATCGCAAAATGTAGAATTTTGCCAAGGGGGGGGGACTGGCATAAAAATAAATCAGCGCATACAAAGATACACACGTTAAAAGCGCGAAAATGAAAAGGGAGAAGAATACTCCTCCGAACTACAGTATTCACCAGAAAAAAAGGAACGTTACACAAAAGAAAGTGCAACGGACACAAGTGAAGAAGGCAAAACAAGGAACATGTGGCACGTAAAATCTTATATATTTGTTTAACATATACCATCCTATGCAGCATGTGAGCACTTAATGAACATGACACATGTACACATAAAAACCAATTGACTGAATGCCCGTTTTAGGCAAAAAACAAGGAAAACTTTTTTTATATTTTTATTACAAAGGTTGGGGGTGTACCAAGCAGGTATTGTTCACAGTTGCATAGGCGTGATGAAGTAAAAAAAAAAAAAAAAAAAAAATTCATTTTGGTTTTTTTTTTTTTTTTTTTTTTTTTGGCTAGTACACCTTTGTGTCACCTGACGATTGCTAACTTGCTCTTCCTTCTTAAGCTTCACTTTGGATTTCTCAAAATTAAAATAACGGAGTCTCCCCTTAAAAACAGTATGCTGATGTATCTGTCCTTGTTAATTTTTTTTTTCTTCTTTTTGTCTTTCACAACCTCAACCCAAATTTCTCGAACCTCAGTCAGCAACAAATTACAGTGCCTATCAAAAGCTTTAACCTGAGGGCAGCGAATTCGTAAAATGGGGTTCGTGCATATTAGTCAATCAAAGGTGCGCTCTGCCGGTGAGCTAACAAAATCGACCAAATCGTATGAACAGGTCAGGCAAATTCGGTAGACTTCATTAATTTGCACACAAAAAATGGGCGAACGGGGCGCTCAGGCTGAGACGCATTTCCTTCCAGTTCTCATTTGCTTACCCGCGCCAGAAGTTTCCTATTATTTCGGCAGTTAATTAAAACCTGTGCGTTGTCCTTGACACACTCGGACAGGAGACCCAAAGGGCCATCCTCGGGATTGTCCCGGTTTTCCTCCACCGTCGTTTCCGTCTTCATTTTTCAATAACAAAAAAAAAACTTCGCCAAAAATGCGCCTCTGGACAGTTTAACTCTTCACAAAATTGTAGAAAAAAACTATCAGTGTGTTTGTTCACTCGGGTATGCGAAAAGGTAGGTTCCTTTTTTTTTTTTTTTTTTTTTTGTGTACACTGGGCATTAAGTCCGTTTGGACGATCTGAAAAACGGGACCACGAAAAAAATTAAAATAAAAATATTTACTGATTTTTTACATTAAGAAACTTTGGATGAAATGTATTCCACTCCAGACGCGGCCACTTAACAACATGTTCGACTTCCCCTCACCTTCACAATTACACATTCGTTAGCGCGATAAGGGAAACGAAAAACATATTCAAACGGAAGCAATAACAGCACGTGAAGGGCTATTTATCTCCTTTGCCGTTCTCTCAATTTGCCTTACCAAAAAGGGGGCAATTATCGTTACACGTACAGATTCGTTCCGGGCACGGCTGTTTCAAATTTCGGTTGGCATTATTTTCGACGGGTATTATAGGGTACACGTCTCTCGATGTTGAAGCAAAAGTTGGGGGTTATCCTCTCTTCATTTTTTGTAAAACAGTTTGTTCTTCCTGCGAAAATTGCCTTAAAAGTGGACTCCTTGTTGTTACTTCTAATTCTAAATAAGGTTTGCGTGTGAATCCTTTTTTTCTCTTTCCTTTTTTTTCTCCCTGTGCTGCTACGCAGTGTTGGCCAAGGGGGAAAAAAATTTACATAAAAAAAAAAAAGGGATAAACACAGGGAGGCAACGCGGAAATGTAAAGAAGAAGGATGAATTAAAACAAAATAAGGGCACTTTATATTTTATTTATTTATTTTTTTTCTGTTCCCTTTTCGATGGCATTGTCGCTTGGCCCTACCTCATAAATGTCAATAATCTTGTCGGCGCCGCATCCCGCAAGGTCACATATTTTTTTCCGCCTTTTCTGACACCGCAACAATAGTTTTTACCCACCCCGAAGAATGCGACATTCAATGCAGGTAGTAATTTACAACGTGTCGCCTACCTCGAATATGGCGAAATGCTTTTCCAATTTTTTCTTTTCCTTTTATTCCCGTTGGACTATCCCATCATCTGCGCATGCCATTTGAAGACCGCCTTTCATTCGTTTCGATGGGAAACTTCCCACATATATCTTTTTGCAGTAAACGGTTATGTACCCAAATAGCATTATAAGAAAAGCACAGCAATGTTTATCCTATCATTCCTTTAACATTTTTTTCGGCATGTCCCAACGTATAAATTGTACAACTCTTCGTGCCTCCTCAGACCACTATACTTCCCTTTTTTGTAGTCTGCAAAAAAGGTGACCCTAACCTCTACGTAGCGTTGTGCCCCAAACTGTGCGCCCAGCTGATTTGCCTTTTTAAACAAAAAAAAAAAAAAAAAAAAAAAAAACTCCAACGGTTTAAGGACAAACAGAACGCTCTTCTTTACTCTTATATACCATGTACTTGTTCGCCCCTTCCAAATTTAATTCATAAAGAAATGAAGCTTCACAAAGGCTGCAGCACGAGCGACGTGCTAGAGAACTTCGACAAAAAGCTAAACAAAAATTACAAAATGTTTGAGGAGGAGACCATACAGAAAATGCATAACGAATACGAGCACCGGGTGAAGGAGAAGACCATGGTGAAGGTGAAAAGGAAGGAAGCACTGGGGAAGAAGAGGTCGCACGATGAGACCAGCGGGGAGCACGAATCGCAGGAGGAAGCATTGGACGATGAAAAATCAGACCGAAGTGACGAAGCGGATGAAGCGGATGAAGCGAATGATGTGCACGATGTGGATGACGCGAACGAGGCAGAAGAACCGGCCACCTTCCGCGATCTAAACATCTGCGAGGAAATCCTGCAGAGCATAGATGAGCTGGGCTGGAAAAAGCCGACCGCCATCCAACGCAAGATGCTGCCCTGGGCCTTCCAAAAGAGAGACATCATCGGTCTCAGCGAAACAGGCAGCGGAAAAACGGCCTGCTTCATAATACCCATCCTACAGGAACTCAGAGAAAAAAGGCAAAGCTTGTTCGCCCTGGTCATCTCACCCACCAGGGAACTGTGTATACAAATAGCACAGCACTTTCAAGCACTGGGTTCAAATTTACTTATAAACATATGCACAATATTTGGAGGTGTCGATATTGTTACTCAGTCTTTAAATTTAGCCAAAAGACCGAACATCATTGTAAGTACCCCAGGGAGGATACTAGATCATCTGAACAACACCAAAGGTTTTAACTTAAAAAATTTAAAATACCTCGTATTTGACGAAGCGGACAAATTATTATCCCTCGACTTTGAGGCCTCCATTAATAAGCTCTTACTAATTCTCCCTGAAAAAAGAATTACCTTTTTATTCTCAGCCACAATGACAAAGAGTGTAGCTAAATTGAAGAAGGCATCACTAAAAAATCCGATCAAAGTAGAAGTGTCAAATAAGTACAGCACTGCCAGTACCCTCATCGAAAATTATATATTCATTCCCCTCAAGTACAAATACACCTACCTCTGTAGCCTCTGCTTCCACTTTTCCTCGAGGTGCATTATCATCTTTGCAAACACATGTGCGACAGCACAGAAGATTAATTTCTTCTGCAGAAATTTAGGACTCAAGTCTATATGCCTGCATGGCAAATTAACACAAAATCAGAGACTCAGTAGTTTGAATTCTTTTAAAAGCAACCGATACAATATTTTAATTTCTACACAAGTAGGAGCTAGAGGACTTGATTTAAAAGATATTAAAATTGTAATAAACTTTGACCTGTGTTCATGTAAGGAGTATATTCATAGGGTCGGAAGAACTGCTCGAGCAGGGCGCACAGGGAAATCCATCACCTTCGTAACGCAATATGATGTGGAAAATTTCCTCGCCATTGAAAAAATGCTCAACAAAAAAATTGAAAAATTTAGTGAGCTCGACGAAAACGACGTGCTCCTATATCAGGAGCAAACTGTCGAGGCACTGCGCCTGGCCGAAACAGAAATGAAGGAAAATCAGGACCTCTACCGTAGAGGCAAGTTCAAGAAGGCTCGGAGATGAAGCGGCGCGAACTCCACGTCAAATGGAGGACAAATCGAGGCCAAGTCGACTGGGTTAAGGGCTAACACCAATATGTAGCCTACCTGCCGCACTACCCACGTGGAACGTCCTTACCCGGGACATTACCCACTTTCCATCCTTACCACTCACAAGTTACGCAGGGTCCATGTGTGTGTAGAAGGGGGGGAGCGCCCTTCCACACCAAATGATGTTGACCCAGTAAACAACCACTCATAACAATTGCCCGAATGGGCCATTTGCAATTTGTACCAATGCTATCCTTCATCTTTTTTTTTTTTTTTTTTTTTTTTTATTAACCCCATTTAGAGTTTGAAAAGGAGGGAAAAAAAACCCTCTTTAATACTTCCCCTCCCCTTTTTTTTTTTTTTTTTCTTCATGTTTGTGTCACCCACAACTTTTTTGTAAAAAAAATGAAAATTAAGATATTTTTACCAACACGACAGGATGGCCGATCTGGAGCTCACTGCTGATAGCTGTTGTGACGGAGAGGTCATATGTAGATAAATGTATAAAGGACTATATATGTACATACGTGTGGTGTCATACTAACACCCGTATGCGTTCTTTTTTTTTTCTGTTCGCCATGTGGCACGTGGCCCCCTCTCACAGTTAACTCCCCGCGTGGCTCACTCTCTCCTCCTCTTCACTGCTCACCCACATGAACAAAAAGAAGAGTGAGAAAAATAAATAAAAATTGCAAATGTGCAAATGTCGACATGGCGAACTGCAGACGTGTACCGCCCTCTATAAAATAACAAGTGAGGTCCCCACTCACGGCGCACACTGCACCCCAGCAAGTGTGGCCATGCGGACAAAACACGCTGGCTGCGTGATGCTTCTCTTCCTAAGCTGCGCAGAAGTTACCCCGTTCGGCGTCCTTCCAGAATTTAGACCTAATTTGCCACCACGCCGTCCCAAGGGACCGCCGAAGAAGACCTACTCACTCTCCTCCCCCCACCGCAACGACAAATCAGACACCCCATTGGTAAATATAAAAAGAAATAATTTCTTGGAAGCTCAGGCAGAGAACGACATAGATTATGTATACGGCATAAATTCAGTGTTGTCCGTGTTGATGAAGAAGGAGCGAACCATTCACAAAGTCCTGGTAGGAATCCACATGTGCTATATATGTGTATGTGCATGGGACCCAGCTTGCAAAGAAAGATGCCCCCCTGTGTGAGGTCCTCACCGATGCGAATCAACCTACGTACTCACACACATCTGCACACATCACACTGAGGTCTCCACTTCACTCCGCAGATAAACGAGAAAATTCGCATGAACAAAAAAACACGCAAACATGCATACCAGTACATTTTCAACACGCTAAAAAAAAGGAACATCCCAATAACAACCACGAGCAAGAGGAAGATGGACGACCTGGTGGGGGGCTTCCCACACAACGATATAATCATGCAGACCAACTACCGTACCATGAAAAAGGCTAAACACTTCCTCAAGGATTACCCACAGAAAGGGAAGCAAGCAAATATTTACATCTGTCTCCATGATGTGTACGATAATATGAACATAGGAAATATTTGTAGATCCATTTTCTTCTTCGGGGGGGACTCGATATTTTTAAAAAAAAAAAAAAAAAAAAAAAAGAAAAATTGCAAGAAAAGATACACGCAATGAAGATTGACACTCCTGTGCTCCATGCCAGTGTTGGCACCTCCGAGTTTTTGAACTTTTTCCACGTCAATGACATGGTTCGAACAACCTATGCATGGGCAACTTTCACGTTGCTGCCTTTCCCATGTGGAGGGGAAAAACGAAAGACACACACCCACCTCTTGTCCACAGCCTCTCAGATAAGTGGCGACTTACCCAAGGGACAACATGCAACTCATCACTTGGTATTATTCTCCTCACCCCCCCCCCCCTTCAGCTCACCTTTATGGACGAATTAAGAAGCTCCGGATTTAAAATTCTTTCCACCTGTAAGACTGCATAGGGATTGTTCCTGGAGGGTCCTGCCCCCGCAGTTCATCTCACATGCATGTGGCTGATTCACAATACGCACTTATGTGTACTTCTACCTACGTCTGCGCACTGCTCATGCGCCGCTACACTGTTCATGCACCGCGTAACACCACTGCTCCCCCCTCCCTTAACCCCACGCAAGGCTGCCGCCCAAACGACTCCAGTTCGAACAATCGCCTCGAACAATTAGCAAATGTGCAGATCAGCAAAAACGAAAAGATTTTTATAATCTTAGGAAATGAAACCAAAGGACTGAGCAAGGAAATACTAGACAGGTCAGACATTTGTATATACATAAATGGGCACCGCACAGAAGAAGCTCCTCCTACACCTGACTTGAACCCTAATGCAAATTTTACCTTAGACAGCCTCAACGTAAATAATGCGTGCGCTATATTATTGCATCACTTTACCTCTCATTTGTCGTAGTGTGCCTCTGCATTTGAGGGAGGGGGACAACGTGGTCGACATGCGCCCCCCCGTTGGAAGGTCCACAAATGGATTCGCCCCTTTTTGTAACGTGTTTGCTTTGGTGGGCAGCAAATTCTTTAACTCTTAACATTGTTAACAGTGTTAAATTTATTTGTGTAAAGGTACCCACGCGTGTGGCACTTCTCACGTAGCAGTTCACATGTAGCGCTTCGCATGTAACACTTCGCATGTAACACTTCGCATATTTGGAGTCTTTTTTTTTTTTTTTTTTTATGGCCATGTGTGGGAATTCCCCAGGTTGGGGCCTATAGATGCTCATTTTCTGTTTTATCTCCGCGCAGCATGTGTACCCACACATGTACTACTGTGTATCATGCCGCCCGAACAGAAGGGCGAAACGCGACACACTCGATACACATATAAGGTTGGAGGAAGGAAAAGGGCCAGCTTCCCTCTTCTGACCGCTAGTTATGTCCCCCATGACATACATAGGGGGTTGTCCCTTCCTTTGCCCCCATTCGTTGCGTTGCTCTCCTGGAGGAGAATACTCAACTCTGCTTTCACTGAGCCATGTAATGGTTGCAGACCACCTTGAGTGTTCACAAATTATTTGCGTTTTTTTTGTTCCCCCTGTATGCCTCTTCCCCCTCCGAATAAGGTATAAAAAAAAAAAAAAAAAAAAAAAACA